CTAAAAGGGCAACGCGACCGCTGATAGACATATACAATTGCAGATGCGTTTCCTACCTTTAATCGACTAGGGAGGAGACGCACGTTAAGAGAATGTATCCCCTTCCTATGCGTCTCCTCCACCGTCAAATACTCTTTCCTTTCCCATACTTCTCTTATAAGAAAATGGGTGGAAAGGAAAAAGGAATAAAGATGGGCCTCCGGCACTACACACATCAGACGAAACGCGGAATTGTTCCCACTTCACGTCTGTCTTTTGTATGGTCGTGGTGTTGCACAGGGCGAGCCGACCCATTAGTGCGAATATGTTAAAGCGGGCTCTACCACTGGCAAATTCTTAACTTCTTTCTACTTAAAACTCTTTACACCAATATCATTTGTGTACATATTTAAAAAAAAATCTATCAGATCCATTTCAAATAAACCAAAGCAATATTTCATTAATATAGCATTGTATAAAATATGAGTACTAAACGCTAAACAATGACATGAATGAATGCTTTTACAAAAAACTTACAATTATCGAGCAATTAATGTTTATCCGCATAAAATGTTGCTGTCAGCACAATACGGTATGACACTAATACCTGTGGTTCCACTTTCTGCTTACGACAAACAAGACATCTATTAGTCTGTTAGTTTTTGTAAAGCAGTGAAATCTCTATATTTTTACTATTAACACGCTATATTTAAATGTATAGTAATCACGCCTTGTGAAATTTTCCTCTTATTGTTGAATAATGTTAATAACAATCTTTATATTCTAGTTCTTTGCTGTTTATATTATTTTTTTCTCTAATGGGTACTATATTTCAATTTTTTAAGGAGAGCGTGCAATTTAAACATGAAATGCTTACCAACTTCGAAAATCTAAGTTAATAAACATTAGGGTCAAAGAGTACTGAAGTATTTCTTACTTCCCCTCTAGTATTGCCAAGTATCTATAGTAGGTACTGTAAATATTTTTATACAGTTTTAAGTTCAAGTTATTTCGCAGATTGTTTCCATTTGCGTCGCGAGTGCGTGCGCGTTGGTCTGTATTCAAGCACCCGTACTTTCTTTGTTTAAAGTTTGCGGGTCCCAAGAGGCTCTTTGAATGCGGTTTCCAGAGTTAATTACGGCAGGGCTGCAGTGCTATAAAGTTTAGTAAGTCCTATGGATATACGTTTCCTTTCTTTACTTCAAAACAGCCGACGAAGTCTATTGTTTTTGGCTTGCGTTACAACTCACTGTTGTGAATTAAAATTAAGATTTACTGTTAATTTTTCCTTGAGTTCGTACTATAGTTATTTGCTTGCTTAGTGTATATTTCTTCTCCGTCTATACTCCTTATATCAATTTAACGATACTGAGTCTAGCCGTCTAGCAATAAAATAACATACTGTGTACAATCAAGTATCTACGGCGAAAATTTATATTTATACAATTGAATAATATTGATAAGCAAAAAGCGTATTGTTTGCACCACATGGCATGGCGCTGCGTGGACATTGCAGGCGGCGGTGATTTACGCCCCGCAGACGCGTTTCGGCGGACATTTGGGGGAGAGCGAATTTATTCGTCTCGGTCCTCTATACTTCGTTTTGTTCGTACAACATACGGATAGTATGGATTTTTGTTGTCCTTTTATCACTTTTCATTCCATTGACAATTTTTAGTCATTCACTTGTAGCAGCGTAGAAAAAATATCTTTAACGTCATTCATTCAACAAACTGTATAAGAGACGGTTTAGGATTTTCGACATCAAATTTATTGGTAGATTAAAACTAAAATGTATCTAAATTGTTTTTTATGCTTGAAGTAACGTATGCTAGTGCAGACATGAGTCAGTATTGCGCTGACTATTGATTACATTTCATGTAACTATATCCCTGTTCATTATTTGATTCATTAATATGATGACATAACTCAAAACAATGTTTGTAATTATACAAGCACATTTTATAATACATGACATTCATAATTTAATTGAAAGTAAAATAAACTGGTAAATAATACATTTTCGCTTTTAATTTAGCATTAGTTTTGTCTCTAGCGATTACTTCCAACTAAAAACATAGTTTTGTAGAGTGCAATAAACAATAAACATAGTTACATTTTTAGTTTTACATGATTCGTTATTTCATAATTTTAATGGAATAGAAGGTTTAAAAGTATCCATATAAATCCCTGCCCACCCTCTGAGTTGCAGCCGTGGTGTCATTCGCTTCAATGGGAAGCGAACAAAATACCGTTTAGAACAATGCTCCTATTGTGACAGGCGATACTTGGCACTGCAGTACATAGGCGAGCTGTTGCAAATAACTATTTATTTCTGTTACAATGAAAGCAGGCCTGTACTATTTTTGTTACAGTTTTAGTACCAGTAATAATTTATGCAGTATTTTTAAAATCAAACATATCGGGTTACAGAACGTAATTGTTACTGTAAATTACATAATTCTTTAATAGACTAATTATTAAAGTGTACAGCAAATATTGGATATCGTTCGAAAATATCTATGCTTCGAAATAAATGGATGCACGGAAGATAAAACCAAATCAATACATACTTCCGATTTAGTCTAGACCTTCTTGTCTGTCCGAATATTCTGTTATAAGTGGATTTATCTATCTTTGGTGTGGGATAGATTTATGTTTTAATATTAAAATAGTGAATTTTTGATTGTTGATAAAACAAACATAACCGTAAGTGTCCAGTAACAGAAAAACTCGTTCTATAGATACCTCCTTCAGTTTTATTTTTCTTCGTATTTTCTTTTCCCGAGGAAATAAGCAATATGTGAAATAGCAGTGGCACAAAATGTGTCCAGGGCCGAGTTTAGTGCCCCGTCTAGACGGGAGGGTGCATGCTGGCTCGTAAATCACATCCCGTCATCTTTACTACCATTATTTAAAGTTATACCACCAACATACTTAGATCTGCAAGTCTGTAGAGGTCATTGAACTTCAGACAAATGCAAAATGTGGATTAATATTTAGATTTCAGTTATACCGTTAAATTTATTTGACCTATTTCTAACATTTTATTATACGCTCTTTAATTATTTAGTCTTAAATATGTTTGTAATTTATCAAAATCTTCACTTGATTGTGAAGTACTAAAATAATGAATCAATATGATGATATTTGATGAAGCGCTTGATGAAGCGTGTCACATTTAAAGCTTCTTGTAGATTTTACATTCATATCCTTATTTCATCCTTTATTTTCTTTTTAAACAATAATCGGGATGTGCACAGCCTAAGATTAAAACTCCACGTAGTACCTTCATCTAAAAAAGCTTATACATACACTACTTCGTGGAGTAAGATGTCAGCAATCGCAGCATATTTTTGAACAATGTTTTCTTTAATAAAAAGCATTGCATTTACGACACGCTTTAGGCTATATATTTTCTCGCTATTAAGCTTAATTAACTAAATTGAAAAAAAAAACCTTCATGTGGGAAAGGGACCATAAACAACAAGCTATCAACATTAAGGAAGTAAGATTATTATGGTAACGGTAATTGACATCTGCAATTGAGAATTTCACTAATGTTAACAATATAATAAAATTTTAATAATTTCATGCGGATGAAGTCCAACGGAAACAGCTAGTTTAAAATGCTTTTTAAATTTCAGTTACAGACGAAGCAAGGCAGTACGAGCTTGGATTTAACTTTATTCTCTAAGTGTGGAGAAGATTGCTCCTTGACTGCGAGGACGCGAGTTTGCCGACGAGTGTTTTAAACTTGTTAATTGCAACATGTAAGTTGCAGGCAAAAGTAAAAAGGATTCCGACGGTTTTCCGCGAAATTCCACTTACACTAAACATATTTTCGTCTCTTTTATACCAAAGATAACGACAGAGATATCTATAAGTATGTTTACAAAGCGGATACCAATTTATTTCATCAACGAAGACGCAATTCTGTCACTTACTATTATAAAGGTGAATATATTAGTGTATTTGAATATTATACTTTTAAATGTGTTATGATAATCCCTGGGAAAATTCAAATTTTCATTAAGCAGACTTTGTTTTGATTAACTTTGCCGAAATTAAATGTTTCACGCTTTATTTATGTTAAATTTATTCAATGCTTTGAAAGACAACTTTCTCGTTATTTCTCAGTACCGAACGTTTTCAATACACGAGCAACGTCACGGAGTTGAATAAATTAATTACTGGCTTTACAATTTAGGACGTCTTTTGTCTTTTCATTCTCTACAAATCGAGTTTATGTTTAAAAATTACATTCTATGTTTTAAAATTGGCATAATTTTATATTGCCTTAGAACCTTTTATGGTTACAATTACTTTGGCCAAAGCTAATAGAAATAGTAAATCTCAAACCGACAAATTCATACCTGGAAGTCAAATTTTCAATTATTTAAATAAAGTAGGTACATTAATCGATTTTATCATATACAGACAGTCCAACCTAGATTAACCAATCTGTAAGGAAAGCCTGTCCCATTATAGAGCTTGTTAGAAAAAAACAGCCTCGTTATTCAGAAAGAACAAATAACGAATAGCTTTATAATAAACACTACAATACAATAGACTCAGCAGTTTACAACTATTAAAGTATATTTGAAAAGCAATGCACAACAAACGTGACAATAGTCACAATTTCGTCGTGGCGCTGCGCCACGCGCCGTACAACTTTATGACAATTTTTAGACAAGTCTCAGAAAATTGTGAACTCAACTGTTCTATTTCTATATAAATAGAAATAAATATTTTAAACTATAAATGAAAAATGGTTTATCATTTAATTAAATGATCCTGGTTTAGATTTAATAGAGAATTTAACAGATTTATGCTGGGTTGCTTAAGTTCCCATTTATTTTATATCACTACCTACTGACTTATTAGTGTTAGGTTTAGTTTCAATAGAGTAATAGTCAAGTTATCTAACTAAAAACACTAACGAATAGTTAAAAGTAGGTGGGACACCTGCAAAGATGGTGTTCATAGTTGACAGTGTACAAAGAATATTCAAAACTCACTTGTCTAGTCGCGACGGACGGTCTGTCAGGAACTATTAAGATCTGCAAAAAACAAAAGTTAATTTTAATAAGCATATCAACTGTAAAAGAAAACAGCCATTATCGCTATAAAAAACAATAAAAGAGCATCATTAAATAAGTTTAATTGAAATGATTGTAGAATAGCCAATGTTTCTGTTATAAGTCAAAACTGTAATCAAAGAACAATGAAAACAGAATGAAAAGGCTTTTTGTTTGATTTTACATTTATTTTGTACATAAAAGATTACTTTAAAACATCACACGTATTTTCATAAATGTTTTCGAAATGAAATGCTTACTAGATTAACTATCAGAAATAAAAAACGTAGCTCTATAATTACTTGTAGTAATTTAAAATAGTCGGTGGAAACAGAACGCAGTTTATTAACTCTATCAAAAGTTGTCAGAGTTGATAGGTAACTTTATATCCGCGTAGCACATCCACCCGACTATACCCACCCTACATCCGTGACCCAGTTGCGGTGCTCCCACGAACTGGGAACGCAAATAATCAAAAACTCGAAAGCAAACATTTCGACACTGAAGAGTTCAAGTCAAAGAGTAAACTGATATTTTGAAACAGTTTATATTAAATTTTTTACATAAAATAACCACAACAACTTGCCCTTGTCGCTACGAAGGGTGGACAGTATGTGCTGCACTTCCATACATTTCTATCAGCCGTCATATCTGAATCCACTCCCTTCTTAATGTATTACATAAAATAACAACTAATTACACTAAAACGTTTTAGCTCTACACTCTACACTAAGCAACGGTTCTAGAAAACATTCATCAACCAAAAAACATTGAGACATCTAGTTTTCAGAAGTAGATTAATCCGTTATTAGGCTGTATATTTTAGGCTGATATAAAGGGCCATCTAAAAAATTTGCAAACTTGAATACCGCGTTCACGTTTAGAGGGCCAATAAGCATCTTCGTAGGAGATTGCCCTCATTCTTTAGGTCCTCTGTTCACCCTGAATCCGTGACCCAATTCACTGTACGACAGGGAACGCGAAACTCGAGTACTGAAGACTACAATGGCGAGTTGTGAGCCGCATACAATTCTATTTCAGAGCATTGAGTAGAAGGTAGGCCGGTAACAAAGGCGCGCGAATTAAATGCGGTCGCGTTAATCTTAGAACGGCTTGGCTTGCGTTTGTACACACAGTAATTTAATGTTGAGCAAGCGATAACATGTATTTTAGGGGCTGTTTATCTTTAATACAGATTATCATAGTTACATAATCTTGTAGCAACATCGAAACGATATATTTCATGTTTTAGTTATATACCAGCTTTCACCCGGAACTCCGTCCGCGCGGATTTAAGAAAAATAAAAAGCAAGTAGCTGATGTGTTCTTCCAGACTATGCTCTGCATCTATCCCACATTTCAACCACATCCGTTCAGCCGTTTAAACTTCAAAATCTTTGTTAGATCCATCCATCTAAACTTTCGTATTAATAATATTAGTAATAGTAATATTTACAGTTTACGAATAATTGTTAACATAAAAACATTAATAGTTATAATGTATAACATCACTAATGGTTATTTTAACCGCTAAAAATAACAAACTGGTACACAACGTTCAGTTTGATTGATTTGTACTTTTATTTATATTTGATTGATTCGAACTGTCGACCTTTAGATCGTAAACCAAACAGCGACAGAAATACATACATCGCGTAGAAAAATATAATTGAAAGTTTACATTCAATCTTTTAAAATTGATGTTTGAAAATTAAGTGTTTGATGACTTTTAATTATTTGACAATGATTCAAATGTAAACATATAATTATGTGATTCGTGTATACAGAGGTACATTAAAAAAAGGTCCAAATATTGAAAAAAACCTTTTGATATTCGTGTGCGCAAATTGGAATTTGAAGTGGTTTCAAGTGGCTCTTTCGCTGCCGCCTGTCGCTTTTGCATTGATTGCCAATACAGTGGTGTTAATTAGCAGTTTTAATAAATCAAAAAGAGTTGGTTAGTCGATAGCACCGCGATATAATTAAAAAAACTAGTACTATTACTACTTGGTTCGGAATTATTATGTTACTTCCATTCATACGCAGTCTTATCGATCTATTTAATTTCGCTCTTAGAGAAGCAGTAATAAATATGAGAAAACTACATTAACGGACTACTTAACTTATCATCAATTCTGAGTAAGGTTAATCTTTACTTAGCTTTAAAGAAGCTACAGTTTGCACATTCAACGTTTTAATTAAAGATATCGGTTTGTATAAATAAATCGGACGTTCAAGAGCTTGCGAGTAGGATCAGAGCTTTTGTTTATTTTCTCATCGCCCGGAGAGGGAGCTACAATTATTTAGAGTAAAATGTTAAAGGAATACTAAGCAGCTTAAAAGTGGGACTAAAGGCTTTTGTTTTCTTTATAAATCTTTACAGAATAATTAAATTGGAATGTAAGTCACTGTAATCAGAAATTTAATCCTTTTTATAACTAATCAAACTTTTAAACAAAAAAAAAATACTCAGTGGTAAAAAATATGATTCCCAAAATACATTTTAGCCATTTCTTGAATGTAATTATATTTAGCATGTCGTCTTACAATACTGTTTTATAAAAACATTATTTAAATTTTAAAGCTGTAACATATAAGTCAAGTACACTTACAAACATTGGAGAGTAAGGTTACATCGCTTATTTCGGACCGCAAGCTCGCTCAAAAGCTTCCATCTCATTCATTCCGAAACTTTAGCAATCGCCGTCGGTTTGAATTCGAGCGGAACTCGGGCCGAAAATGTTTTTACACTTTTAGGTGTAAGTAATTACACTGCTTTGCAAACATTAAAGTTATAACTGCGACTACACTAACTGGTAGATGTTCTTAGTTAATAGTTAAAAGACTGGAAATGTAACAATTTTTTTCTTTTCATTATCATCATCAGAGGCACTACAGCTGCGGGTGGGCCTGGGCCTGGTCCAGTAAATTCCTCCATATCGGTCTATCTTGGGCTTTTTGTTTTCAGCCCCTTAATGCCGACATTTTCCTCTTTCACTAATTAAAAATATTGTCGTTATTGTCCATGCCTTACTTAGTCTTTAAGTGATTACTTAAGTTTAGTGTAATAAAGAAGTATCAAGAGTCTCCCTTAATATCCATAAAAGACTCTTAATGGAGAAAGACTAAAATAATATTAACATCGCAAAACATTAGAATATTCCAGATAAACAAATCACATTAATGCGTCAATAACAAATTTAAATGAACTGTATGCTAGTGTGTTCAGCATACAGTCCATTTGAATATTTAAAGTGGGTCTCACACGTTAGGTTTTGTTGGACGTTAGTGTTAAACTTTGCAGTCATAATCGATAGGCACAACCAAATTCACAGTTCACACCGTAGTTTTGTCAAACACGGTATGGTTTGCCTGTAAGTTGTTCATGTTAAATCAAAAGCGTCTTACAAAGCCTAACGTGTGTGGCCTGCGTTAGCTATCTGAATGCCAGCTCATTGCATCAATTCAAACAAATGAATCATGCGCTAACAAACGGACTCGATGAGCTAGAATAAACATTGGCAAGTTCATATTTCTTCTTGATTTAAATGATTTCTTATAGTAATTTCATATTACTATGGTTTTTCACTTCTGAAACTTGTATTAAATGTATTGTTATCTTAATTTTTACAATAAGAAAGTGAGAGACAACATATTTTTTTTTTACGGAAGACTTGATTTAGTTAAAATCCGCAAGTACCACAGAATTAAACTCTAGTTTAGACGGAAAGCATAGTCTCATGAGACAAAAATAGGTCTTGTAGTAAAACTTTACTTGAATTTACAGCGGCAGGATATTGGAGCATTTAGTTTTAACGAATGGCTGGAAATTGCGAGGAAATATGGACCAATAAGAGCGCCTACCGCCGTTAAGTTGCGCAACTTGTGCGAGAGAAGATAAGCATGAAATAAGAAGTAAAATTTATGTGTGATTTAAATGTACCATTATACCCGAGAACGTGGCTCCTTGCGCTGGGTGTTAAGATAAGGTGCTTCCAGAATTTATTTTTCGTATACCTGGCAGAATATGGAACCTTCTTCATAACTAAAAGCCTGAATAGTAAATAGTGTAACTTAAAAAAATTATTTTAGCAACAGGAAAAATAATCAAGTATTTAAACTTTAATAAAATTCAAGACTTAATTATATCGCCTTTACTTTTGATCTTCAACTGTTTGTGGCACCTCGTGATGATGACGATGATGTCCTCCGGGACGTACATCTCGTACCAAGTTGTCAGTTGCAATATCTAATATCAATCACGTATGATGTTTCGCCACCTTTACTATGAAGTGAAACCTTTCAACTAGTCTATTAGAATCGTTAAAACATTCTTACTGAAGTGCTGGGATACACGGATTATTAACCTGTTATAACCGTGGATTCCTACTGTCGGAAAATTGTAATTCTATTTTATAGATGCAAGATAAAAATGTTGAAAAACAGGTTTAAAAACAATTGATCAGCAAAAAGTATAAATGATTGTGTCAAAAGAAAACCTTATCCCAATTAAATTCCTCGAGAGTAATTAAAATGGTTAATGAGGGTTTTTCAAATCCTGACATAATTATCTGTCTATCATCAAACTACGGATCTCGGGATAGCTCGAGGCGCGTTTTACCAAATTGCTTTTAATTGAGTCGTAAATCGATCGCAGCTGCTACCGATATTAATTAACGAGGCAATTTGGTACAAATTGAAAATGGGGGAATGTTAGGTACTATGGCAGTGGTCGCGTAAACCATTCTTTTACAAGCGCTCAACTATAATAAGCTAATAAATGTCGATAGCCCCTAGCGATAAACAATTAGACATAAACAGTTTTACACAATTCTAGTTGGAATAATTGATTTATTATTGTGCTATTAAATATTATTTGTTTGGGTCTTGGACAGTTTTATAGATCTACTAGCTGTTGCCCGCGACTTCGTCCGCGTGGGTTTAGAAAACATACAAACCATATAAATTACAAAAAGCTACGT